TAAAATCCATGTGAAAAAAATTGCTTCTCACTGTTCTCAGGTCAAATATTTATATGCGATCAAAAGTGCGATTAATTGCGATTAATTAATTACAAAGCCTGTAATTAATTAGATTAATTTTTTTAATCGAGTCCCGGCCCTAATACAAATATATAAAAAACATGTCTATGAAGTGTTTTGCTTAAAATACCAAACAGATCACCCATTCTAGCCATGCCTCATATCCCTCTATTTCACTTCCTGTTTCTAAAGTGGTGATTTGGAGGATAAAGCTTTCAAAAAAATAAAAAAGGAGGGGTCTGAGCTCATGCGGGACCCGGCAGCTACTGTCTAAACTAAATACTGCCGTGATGAAACGCCATATCATGGATTATCAAGGATTATCTCTGAAACAGTATGGAGCTCAAAGGCTTTCTCTCTTGCCGGTTATACCACAAGGTGACTTCCTTTTTACTTCCTGCTTCTTCACACACATGCTCTCCAGTACAGGTTAGCTCTGAGTGTTAGCGATGCTAATGTAAACACCGACCATATTACGTCCAAAACAGTCGGGCATTGTTTCTGATAGCAACGTTTCTGATAGGGCCGTGGGTCCACATTTCAGATATTACGTCATATCGGACGCAAAACTGGATCAGCTCCGTTGTTCCCCCGTTTTTAGAGATTTGGGTACGGAGGAAAAGAGAGAGGGTTTTATTTTCTGACGCTGCGTGAGTTCCCCAACACACCGGGGACACATCTTTATGTATAAAAGACATAAAAAAGTGCATTTTGCATTATAGGAGATCTTTTTAAACTACATTTTGCTGCATATATTTATGTACTTAAGTTGGACTATTCATGCAGGACTTTTACTTGTAACGGAGTTTAAACTTAAGAAGTTAGAGTAAAATATCTATATATATAAATATATATATCTAGAAAGATAAGATGTCAGAGTAGAAAGATGTTTAATAAAAATAAATATACATTTAACATATACAGTTAATAAGTCAAAATTAAATGTCCGACAAAAGATCAAATAAATAAAAAAGACATACAAAGATAGGAAGTTAAAGTAAAATGTCTAACAAAATAATTAACAAATAAAAATAATATATACAAAGAAAGATAAGGAGTTTAAATATATTTCCACTAAAAGATCAAATTAAATTAAATATCATTTTATGTAAAGGTAAACATTTGCAAATTGCACTACAATATATATCATGTATAATACAAACAGTGGTGTATTAGAGTTATGAGATATGTCTAATTGCACATCTTCAAAGTGTTTTGCTGCTGATGTTACAGTAAAAGTTCAAAGGAAAATAAATGAAGCTAAATTAAAAAAACAATTTGGCAGTCAGAAGTTCAAACGCCAGATAAAATGCACTTTTCTATCAGTGATTGTTTTTTGCAATGTGCATAATTACTGTGTTTGCATGTAATTGGCAATCATGTTGTTGAAACACTCTGAAAATCTGCTGCTTGTGTTGCGTCCTGCTGTCTTTATTTAGCTGTATTGTCTAAATCTGTTCTTTGTTTTCACTCTTTTTGTAAATTCATTAACTTCTTTCCTCTCCTGCAAAACCCTACCATGAAGAAGTCTCCATGGAACAGATGGAAGGAGCTGCCGTCTGCATAATTAAAGTAAGAAAAGAGAAAAGACATTTCAAACACAAACCCTCGTCTGTTCTTTTATTTGCTTTTTTGGAATAAATGCATTTCCTTAAAAATCCTCAATGCATTCCCAATGACTGAGTGGAGACAGAGCATGCTTGGTGTCCTTTCTCTCCTGTTCGTCATATGTTTTGATGCATTTCTTTATTTTTCTTTAATAAATGTTTGATTTGTTCTGCGCTTATTTGTGTTGTTTATTTTTCTAAATTATCTTTGCTTAGTTTTGTTCTCATCTTTTTATCTTTGATGCTTCTGAATAAGTTAAGGAAGGAATGTTCCTTTGAACGAGCCCGTTGCTTTTTTTGTGTCGTTTATTTTTGATGTATTTTTCTAAATGATCTTTGCTTAGCTTTTAGTTTTTTATTTAAAAAGATTATAGTTTATTTTCCATTGAAGTGGACCTATTATGCTATATTGGCAACATATATTGTAGAGCCATACCTATAGAAAACATGTCTGTGAAGTTTTTTGTTTAAAATACCAAACACCAAACAGTTCACCCGTTGTAGCCATGCCTCATACTGCTCAAACCCCTCTTTTGAAGCCCTGTTAGAGAAACGTGGATTTTGGGTCCTTAGGTTTAAAAAAAAAAAAGAGGAGGCGGAGCTAATGCCTGATCAGAATTATACCGGAGATAAAGTTAAATTCTGCTGTGATAAAACGCCATCCTGTTCTAAACCACATCAAGGATTATTTCTGAAACAGTATGGAGCTCAAATGCTTTTTCTCTTGCGGGTTTATCACAAAGTGAGTTCCTTTTTTATTTCCTGCTTTTTAAACACATGTGCTCTCCAGTACAGGTTAGCTCTGAGTGCTAGCGAGGCTTGCTAATGTAAACAAAGACGAGATTACGTCCAAAACACGTCAGGCATTGTTTGTGATAGCAACTTTCTGTGGGTCCGCTGCCGATTTGACGTCAGATCGGATGGAATCTGTATCCGCTCGTTGTACCCCTGTTTTTAAAAGATTTGGTTACGGAGGAAAAGAGAAAGGGTTTTATTTTCTGACGCTGCGTGAGTTCCCTGACACACCGGGGACACATATTTATGTATAAAAGACATCACATTTTTGCATGATAGGTCCCCTTTAAGTTAGAGAATGGTCCATTGTACAAGCCTGTTGCTTCTGTTACCTCTCCTTGTACAATTCTTGTTTTTTAATAATAGGTTTTTTAATATATTTGTGTGCAGATAAATACATTATATAATAATATACCTTGCAACCGGATCAATAAACCACCATACATAAAATCCTCTTTTTCAGTTTCAATTGTATTTTTTTATGCTATTGATGAGTCGACACTGGACTTAAGGGGTGAAGGAGCTATATGCAGTAATGCACAGGAAATGGCTTTCCACCTCAAACTAATTTAAAACGAGTCCTGATCAAATATATTTTTCAACACCAAGAAGCAGAAATATCAGAAGGCAATGAAAAGCATTAGGTGCAAATTGACACTCAGACAGAAAGCATTTCCAGAATTCTGCAAATGGAAGAAAAAGGGAAGAGGATGAGTGCAAATTAAATAGAAATAAGGGTAAAACAGTAGAGAAGAAGAAGGGGGATAGAAA